GACCGTTTGCCGAGGACCGTTAGAGCGAGTTATTATGCTGATTTGTTTGGGATTCCCAGTATTTGCTTTTAATTTTCTTGTATTTATATTTTTTGGGTCAGGTCTAGGCCCCCCCACCCCTAGAAAATATCATTTACTTTCATTTGTTTTTACTCAATTATGTATTTCTCCGTTGAGAGGTCTTGGTTTGGTCCCCCTCTCTTGTTCTCTGATCTTTTTGAATAAAATAACGGCAAATGTCCCCTGGCATTTGCCCCACTGATTTTGGTGGTTTGCCTTCCGGGGTAAAAAAAAGAGTTTGTAGGTTAGTATTTTAAGCATGGTTTGTATTTTAAATCATTGTGCACCACATTGATTTAAATGTGAGTGTTCTCACGTTCTCACGTTAAGCATCGTTCTCACTGGAACTGCACTATATATATATATATATATATATATATATATATATAACTTTGCCAAGTTTGACCGGCACGGGGATTAATAACTTTTCCAAGTTTGACCGGCACGAGGATTAATAAAGTAAAAACTGTGTGGTTGAGATTTGTGCAGAGGAGAGAGAATTAACTGAAACCACAAATTCTTTACTTAAAAGGGAAAGTGGCAAAGTTAATGGGACATCCAAAAAAGGAAAGTTGGCAAAGTTATAAGGGACAGAGGGAGAGCACTACCCCCAACTTGTTGCTAACCAAATGAGGATGGCAAAAATCATTGAAGGTCTTGCTGACTCACAACTGAGCAAAGTGGTGGCACATCCATACGAGGAATTCAGTACAATGGATGTTGATGAGTTCTACCTCAATGTCAGTTTTTAGGGGGAAACCATCCACTCTCATGTCAACGGTCAAGATATCACTCTTAACCCGGAAGGAGTTAACGAGTTCTTCGACATCACTGTTGATCCTCAAGATGATGACATCACCACCCTCGTTGATCAAGAAGACATCGATGTAGGTATATATCACTTTGCATAGACCTACTGCAGACCTGATGTAGGAACAGTTGAAAAACTAAGCGTAAACAAATATCTACTAAAGAGGGACTATGAGAAGCTGGTCAACATTCTGCACAAGTACTTATGGTGCAGAACTAGTTCTACAGATGATGTTATGATTTCTCATGCCAAAGAAATCTTTGCCGTTCACCATGGCAAGGATATCGATTGGGGTCAGGTGATAGTCAGATCCTTGATTGACTTCATCAAGAAGAAAGACCCCAAGTCTAGCCTCTACTCATGTAAGTTAGGTCATGGACTGCTTCTGTTTGAACTTCTACTTATACAAGGTGCTGGTATGAGACGAGCCACTGCTGTTGACCACACCAAAGTCATTTTCTTAACTACCTCTTCAACCAAAGAAGTGATTATTAAAGCCGAACTGAAAAGAGAGCAACAGATGGAACTCATGAGGGAGCAGAATGTGTTGAAAGACAAAACTAAGGGTGTAAAGCCCCAAAAGAAGACAACTGAACCAAAAATGCCCCAACAAAAGTCCTCTAAAACATCTGCTGTTGAGGAGGAGGAGGAGGAGGAGCAAGAGAAGAAGAAGAGGGGGAGGGGGAGGGGGAGGATGAGGGGGGGAGGGGGGAGGAGGGAGGAGGAGGAGCACTGCTAAACCAAAATTTGGAAATGACGGAGGTGCCCATGGTATTATTTTCGTCATTATTTCTATAATATATGTGAATGTTCCAAATGTAACACCCCCTACCCGACCGGAAGGCTAGGGCAGGGAGCGCTACCCGCAGTGCCGGAGCACCAAAGCGTTGACTGACTTTTCCATTCGTTTTCATTATTCCAAAAATATTTTTAGTTTAAAAACGAGCAAGTGATAATAACTTTATGAAAAATCATAATTGCGGAAGCATCCATATTTTATACATAACACTTAATGGTTTAGTGTTGCTGTTACATCATACTAGCATGTTGACTACATATTAATTATGCAAACTAAAACGAGGTATTACTAAATGCAAGTGTGACTCTGTGATGATTGGCAGGTTGCTCCCAAATGCTTTCCTCCTTGAATTTTGCCTCATACCGACTACGTACCTACGCGAAGGACAAAAATCCAACGCGCTAAGCAAATCTTGCTTAGTGGTGTTCATTCTTTCTCGATACAATTTCAGTATCAAATATCACATAGTAAATCAACAATTAAGAATGACATCACAAATATACTAAATTGAGAAATATAAACTTAACCAGATTTGATTTTACCCGTTTGACTAATAAATATCAAATTAATACATTTTATTTCAAGTAGCTTTTCAATTCATTTAATAATAATAAACAAAATCCACTCCGTGATATCTCAAAAGTTTATAATCACAACTAACTCAATTCGGTATTAACTTATAAACAACATTCAATATAAAATCCTTAATATCTATTAGTCCATATTGAATATGTAATACAACTCCTTTATAATATTTGTGTATTAAACTTTATTTATCGGGAATGATATGAAATGGATCAACATAATTATTTTGAAACATGTAATACCATTTCATTCGTAGTGGCTAGTTCAATTTATTTCATTTTGTTCAAAGTAGTTATTTTAATGTATTTCAAAATATACAACATCATGATTAAAGCTCTACTCTTTAATTGAGTTGTTAATATATCATAATTTTATTTATAACATATGGAGCGATATAAATATACCTTTCTTATCAGGATATTAAGCGTAATATCATAACTTTATTTAATCAATAATTTATCCCATTGTCCCTCATTTTAAACATTAGCTTATTTCGGAATAAATAATTCACGATGTAAAATCTAATTCTTCAATTGAATGTGATATGACATTCTCCTATCGTCTTTCATTTTTATATTCATATCGTTCTTTCATTTCTCAAAATTCTATTTTCCACATTTTCCCCTTTTCATGCTCTATGCCTTCATTTTCACATCTTCATATCATAATCCAAGTTCACATGAGCAATATCATAGCTGCAATTCAATATTCCATTCGACATTCTTCTTGTCTCACTTTAACTTCCAATAGCTCAATTTTCATCGTCTGCTCATTGTCAATCTTTCTATTTTCTTTTTCACACCGTTATTCTTTTATTAATTTTCTGGAATTCTACTCCTTAATTTAATGGACTGGATAAACGGGATGTTCTCATCGTTGGTACTGTCCACTCGGTGGCTACGAACCATCAGAAAACTATTTTGGCACGGACCACTCGGTGGCTCTGGCCGGGTTGGGTTCGTTTGGGTACTGTCCACTCGGTGGCTTCGGACCCGTAAACGAACATATTTGGGTATTGTCAACTCGGTGGCTACGGACCCGTATAGAAGCGCGCGTGTATCAAATATCAAGATTTGGGTGCTGTCCACTCGGTGACTACGGACCCGAAATCATTGATCAATTCTATGGCTGTGTTAATTATCCCTATTGGCATGCCAATCTATCCAAATCCAGAAACAAGGTTTCAAATCCCATTCTATTTTATTCATTTAAATGAAGTGTGTATCATTAATATTATTATAACCATAACTACTATTTTCCGATTCAAAATAGTATCATCATAACAAATATGAGTAAAATATAATGATATTATATTCGAGATTGTGTTTATGTAAATACTCTCGTACTTATTGCTCATCTTTGTAATTTCTAATATAGATTTTTATACGTAGAACATCTCTGTTAAATTGACTTCATTATAAATCTCACCACAACATTTATCGTTTTTATATGTAATTGGTCTTACAAATTTTCAAGTTCAATTCATCGTTTATATTAACCAATAACCATCACTAGTTTAGCTCCAATTGTTTAAATCCAAGTCCTTACATTTTATAACTTTCAAATTTATTTCATTAGTACAATACATTAGTACATATATATAAGCATATAGTTCAACTTATTGTAATACTACTATATGATTGATTGAAATTCAGTTGAATCATAATATCATAAATCGAAGCCATTAATTTCTCATGCATATTTTTCAGTTTTAGAACATAATTTATTTTTAGATGAGTTCGAATCCCTTTTATCAGTCTCTATATTGCCTTTATAAACTTACGTGTATGATTTTTGATTATAACCCAATACTAATTATAAATATCTTAGGAAATTACTTAATATTATAATTTGTACTACTTGCGAATTTTAACTTGGCAAATTAGCAATAATTCTAAGTTCAAACTATTTATACCCATAATTAAGAATGTTTTTCTTATAAAATGTTTTTTGTCATACTTAATTTTAATGATTAAGATGTTCCTTTGGTTATCATTCTTTTTAAACTACATATTTATTTTCCATTATACATTATCCAATTTTACAAGCAGGATCTCAAACATAATAAATCTAATACTCCATACTATATACTATCGTAATATTGAACTTAATTTTACAGATTAATACTAGAAACGTATTTTCATACGGATCACATTTTTTTAATTTTAGGAATTTAATGGAAAAACTACACTTCGTATTACAAAAATAGTTGAATAAACTATTAATAAAGCTTTAGTGAAATCGTCATTTAATTTACTGTTGGTATCCAACGTCAACATATGAGTGACACTCAAATCATAAATCCATTTTGATTAATTAACCTATTATCAACTCTTTTGTATTCATAATTAACCTATTATGTTTGATGTGAATAGAACTCTAATATCATTTTCAAGAAAACTGTCTTTTGATTAAACCTCTAATATTTTCTTTTATAGCAACTAATATACCCACTGAAAATTGGATAGTAGTATATGTACACATTACAAAATTTTAAAAGCAAATAGATCAGAACAATAGACTAGTAACACTTAAATTTAGGAGAAGGAATGAACACAAACCTTCACAACCCATGCCCCCTCTTTCCTTTCTCCTTATTTATCATTATTTTAGTATTCTAATAAGTAAAATGTAAGTAATTTTACTTTTTATTTATTTGTGGCTGAACTTTGATAAATGAGTAGCCGTAATGTCTATATATATTTGCATGAATCTTTGTTTGTTTGTTTCATGAGCTGCTGCGTGTCAATGCATGTCACTCATGCATTTGATCTTAATTATTTTTATATATCTTATTAACTTATTTTATAAACTTAGCTTTTTGCCATGTGTCTATGGAAACTTAGCTTTCGGCTCATCCTCCATGGATTCCGGTTCCAGCAGCAGCGGACCATCGTTGTTCTCCCTTCCAGCTTCGACGCCGCTGAGCCCGCTAGCAGCTTCTATTGCGCAGCGGCTTCCCACCATCCCGCCACCGGACTCCTACAGATTATTCAATATGCCTGAGCCATTCTCCTGGACTCCTTTAGCAACCCTCGAACCGTCGCCAGTTTTTCCACAGCCTCTGGTATTAGGCGGATCAAACGCCATATTTTCGGGACCTACTCTCTCGGGCCACGCTGGGGTTTCAGCATTGCCCTCAGATTTTTCCCATCCAGGTCTGTCTTCTACTTCAGTCTCTTTATCATCCTTGGCTTCACATTTGGCCTTTTCGACTCCCAACGGACTAATATTGTGACTACCAGATTGTCTGCGTTTGAAGATTATTTGCTTTGGCGCACTCAATTTGAGTCATTTTTAGTGTCTCATAGTTTGCTAGGGATACTAGATGGCTAATTCAGATTATCATGATTGGTTGAAATTGATCAGACTGTCCGATCTTGGCTATTTACTACGTTAGGCAGGGATGTTCTCATGGAGGTTTATACTCTTAAGTATTCTCAACAGGTGTGGGAGAGATTACAGTCTCATTTTATGTCTGCCTTTTTTGCCAGATCCATAGAATTAAAGCGTTTATTATCTCATGTTAAAAAGAAAGAATCTCAAACTATGGACCAGTATTTGTTGGAAATAAAACTTATGGCAGACTCTCTTGCGGCTATAAATTCACCAGTTAGCAACAGAGATCTTGTGGAATATGTTGTCCTTGGGCTCGGTCGTGGCTACGAATCTCTCATTAACACGATCTCGTATATTCCGGGGGCAGATTTGGAGACTCTTCGACATCTTCTCCAGGCGCAAGAGCAAAGGGGTGCCTTTCTGCAGACTCAGGACACACCTCCTACGCACCAGGCCAGGCACCTGCTGGCAGAGGTGGCCCTCGTGCTGGCGCTCCTGGCCGTGGCCCAGGAGGACGGGGAAACCGTGGCAGTCGTGGCCGTGGAGGACGCGGACGTGGTGGCCGCGGGTATTACCAGCACTATCCCCCTCACCAGCAGCCTGGCAGTGCTCCTCCGGCGTATGACGGTCATCCCGGACAGCACATTATTCCTCCACGTGATCCTCCATATACTGGCGGTGCAGGTTCGGTTTTGAGTAATATTAGTTCTGGTTTTGATTTTACTAATCCCTCTCGTATTTGTGTTACTCATATTGTCATTGCAGGTTTTCCATCTGTAGAGAATTCTTATAATGCTCCTGCCCCTCCAGTCGTCTATCAGCCCTGCTTTTCTCCGGGCCACTCCGCTTTGACATGTTCCCGTTTCACTGCCCAAAATACTCCTGCTCTAGCGGCTCTACCCACCGGTGAGACGCATGATTCTGTATGGTACCCTGATTCTGGAGCTTCCGCGCACATGACTCCTCACGAAGGTATTTTATCTTCTAAATTTCCTTACACTGGTCCCAATCAAGTATGTGTTGCTAATGGTACCAAATTACCTATTTCCCATGTTGGTCACATTAAATTAAACACAAATGGTCGCCCGCTTCATCTTAACTCTGTTTATCATGTCCCACACATTAAATACAATTTGCTTTCTATACAAAAATTGTGTGCGGATAATGCCTGTCAAGTGATTTTTGATAAACATTCTTTTTCTGTTAAGGACAACCAAACGGGGGAGCTTCTTCTTCAGGCTTCTAATAAAGATCATGTCAACCCTTTTTCTGCCTTTCAAGCCCGAGTTGTACCTAGTCCCATTTGGCACAAGCGTCTAGGGCATTGTGGTGATCGAGTTCTATGTACTCTTAGGCAAAATAAATTAATTACTAGTTCTTCCAATTTTTATCATGATTGTGTTTCTTGTAAGCTGGGAAAATCCCACAGACTTTCTTTTGCTGATGCTACTCATGACACAACTGCTCCTTTAGAAATTATTCATTCTGATGTTTGGCAATCGTCTGTTACTTCGAATCTTGGTTTTCGATATTATGTGTCATTTATTGATGATTTTTCTAGATTTACCTGGGTTTATCCGATGCGTAGAAAATCAGAAGTGTTCACTCATTTTATTAATTTTCAGGCACTTGTTGAAAATCTTTTAAATGTGAAAATAAAAATTTTTCCGAGTGATGATGGTGGTGAGTTTGATAATCACGCTTTCCATCAACATTTTCTAAAATCTGGCATTTTATTTAGAAAATTTTGCCCCAACACTCCTGCACAAAAAGGTGTTGCAGAGCGAAAACATAGACATCTGCTCGAGTTAACTAGGACATTATTAATTGATTCTTCCATTCCTAGTAACTTCTGGGTTGATGCTCTTTATACTGCCACATTCATTATTAATCGTTTGCCTACATCTATTTTGAATGGGATTACACCATATCAAAAACTTTTTAATAAAGTGTCTGACTATAATTTTATGCGTATTTTTGGATGTTCTTGCTTTCCTAATTTTATTGCTGCCTCTAACAACAAACTCTCACCACGCTCTACACATTGTGTCTTTTGGGGGTATGCACCGGGGTATAAAGGCTACCGTTGTCTATCCCCTTCCACCGGTCGGGTATATGTTAGTCGTGATGTTCTTTTTCATGAAAATGTTTTTCCATACCCAATTTTAACACGCACATCCCCAACACCTACCCCTACACTATCCCCAAGTTGGCTCTCCTCCTCGGTTCAGCACCGTCACCGACTACCTGCTATACACGACCCGACCACTCAGTCCTCACCGCAAATGTCCACCACACCTTGGTCCATTTCCCAGCCTACTCCTATCCCTCACCCATCCATGGTTCAAACTCTACATACCCCAACTGAGAGTGACCATATGACCGACCCCACGCCCAGGCCACTGCCAGACCTTCCCCAGTCCAATAACCTGGCCGAAACCCCTCCACTCTCACCTTTTCCCACTATCAGCCCTCCATTAGTCACACCACCAGAGTCCTCACCCTCTCCGATAGGGGTGGGATTTTGGAACCGAGAACCGTTAAATCGGTTGGAACCGAACCGTTATAACCTGGTTCGGTTCGGTTCCTACAAATGAGATATTAGTTGTCAACGGTTCGGTTTCTAGTTGTTGTTAATGGTTCGGTTCCTGGTTCCTATAAAAAAATATATGCACGGAACCGTTAAGGAACCGATATTAAAAAAATAAAAAAATAAAAATAATAGTAGTAGTATTAGTAGTAATACTAATATAACAAAAATAAACACAACAATAATAATAATAATAAATGAATGATATTTAGCCAATAATTTTAATTTAGTTTAATCTATAAAAACAAAAATAATAAATATTTGCACATGGGGTTGAATACATTAAGCTCATTTTTACAAATCAAGTTTTGTTCCATCAATAGGATGTACATGCAAACTCAATGTATTTCTAGGTTTTGAGAGGCATAAAGTGTACGTCTTATCCTTGCCACTATAATGATGAGCAACCTTCATTTCAACGACATAACGAACGATTTTTATATTTTATGTATTAAATGAAAATTAAAATCTTCTTTTTATTGTATTAAGTGTTCACTTAAGTCCGAGCTTTGATGTTTGGAGTGATTAGAACTCTAAATAAATGTTTATGACTTGTTTTGACTTTTTGACGTTTTCAGGTGGTAGAAGCTAAACTATGTGTTAATTCTTACACGGAAAAAATTATTCTAGGAACCGATAAAAGCAGGAACCGAACCGTTTAGTATTGGTTCGGTTCCATATCGGTTCTTGATTTTTTATATAGGAACCGAACCAATTTCATTTGTTAAAATTTAAACAACGGTTCCACTATTTTTGAGTAAGAACCGAACCGGTCCCAGGGCTACTCTCCGAGTCCTCCGCCTGTCCTTAACATCCATCCTATGCGCACACGTGCCAAGGATGGCATTTTTAAACCAAAACCTATTTTTAACATGAGTGTTTTGACTCCCCCCGATGACCCTACTTGTTTTACACAGGCTAATAAGAGTTTTGTTTGGCGGGCTGCCATGGCTGATGAATTTAATGCTTTGATCAATAATAAGACTTGGGATTTGGTACCGTGGGATCCTACTAAAAATGTGGTTGGTTGTAAGTGGATTTATAAGACAAAATATTGTTCTGATGGGTCTGTTGAGCGTCATAAAGCTCGTCTGGTTGCTCAGGGGTTTAAACAACAGGCTGGTATTGATTTTATTGAAACTTTCAGTCCTGTTGTTAAACCCACTACTGTTCGTCTAGTTTTGTCTGTTGTTTTTTCTTTGGGGTGGTCTGTCCGTCAATTAGACGTGAAAAATGCATTTCTGCATGGTTTTTTGACTGAGGAGGTTTATTTGTGTCAGCCTTCATCCCTCTTATCCTAATCATGTGTGTGGCCTTCGTAAGGCTCTGTATGGTCTGAAACAAGCTCCTAGAGTCTGGTTTCACCGATTCAGTGGTTTTTTGTTGAGTCGTGGTTTCTCCCAGAGCAGGTCTGATTCTTCTATGTTTTCTTATCGCTCTCCCTCTCACGTTGTTTATATTCTTTTATATGTTGATGATATTCTCATTACTGGCTCCTCCTCTTCTTTTGTTTCCTCTATTACACACACACTCTCTCTCCAGTTTGCTATGAAGGATCTGGGGGATATTCATTATTTTTTAGGTGCTCAAGCTCAACGCACACCTAAGGGTCTTTTTTTGTCCCAAGCTAAATACATCTCTGACCTGCTACGACGCTTTCATCTTCATACAGTCAAACCAGTCCGTACCCCTCTTCCTTCTCGCACGTCTCTTTCTCTTACAGATGGGGAACTTTTATCTGATGCAACTGAGTATCGCAGTATGGTAGGTGCACTTCAGTACTTAACCATTACTAGACCTGATATTACTTATTCTGTACACCTGGTATCCCAGTTTATGCATGCTCCACGTACTACTCACCTTTTGGCTGTTAAGAGGATTTACAGGTATTTATAGGGCACAAGCTTGTACGGATTATGGTTGCGAGCTGATAAAAATATTTCGGTGGTCACAGCTTATTCAGACGCAGATTGGGCAGGTTGCCCTGATAGCTCGCGGTCTACTACAAGTTACACGATTTTCTTGGGCTCCAACCTAATCTCCTGGCGCTCCAAGAAACAACCCACGGTGTCTAAATCCTCTACTGAAGCTGAACACAGGGCTATTGCTTACACTGTCCAAGACACACTCTTCATTCACTCTCTCTTGGCAGATATGGGAATTTTTATCTCGACTCCAGTTCAGCTTCTTTGTGACAATGCCTCAGCTTCATATTTGGCAGTTAATCTTATTCAGCAAGATCGCAGTAAACACATCAAGATTGACTACCACTTTGTTCGTGAGCGAGTAGCACATGGAGATCTTGTTGTGAAGCACATACCTACACAGTTGCAGTTAGCTGACATCTTCACCAAAAATTTATCTAGTCAGCGTTTTGAGTTTCTTCGTTCCAATTTGCACGTGATTTCCCCTGCACAAATTGAGGGGGTGTAATAATGTAATAGTTAGGGATTACTTTGTAATATTTCACAACTGTGTTTCTCCTATAAATATAAGGTTAAGGCACCCAATAGGGTAAGCTATTATTCTCCAAAATCTATTCTCTCATATTCCTTTCTTGTTTCTTATGCATGGCAATTTGTCCATTATGCATGGCCTATGATAAGTGTAGATAGGCTCCACTATTGTTATTATTATTCCAATATAAAACCTCCGTTTTACTAAAAAAAAATGTTGACTCTTCTAAATTAATTTAATTTGCAGATTTAATATTAATCGACTTCATAATTATTTTCTTTAATTCGTGTTGTCAATTTATCAGAATCTTTAGACATAATTTTCATTTTATAATTTTCATTTATTTACTTCATATTATAATTTTAAAGTGTATAGAATTGAGGGTGTTACAATTCTTCTCCTCTAAAAAGAAATTTCGTCCTCGAAATTTACACGAAATTTACCTTAAACAAATGTTTTTTCATAGAGTAAATGGTGTAGTATTTGTGTAGTATTTCGATCTATTTGGTTTCTCAAGTGGGCCTGTTAGTGGTGTGGTTTCACAAACACTTTGATCAATGTGATCTTTTTAATTCTTGGTTGTTTTTACTTCTTTTTACTTATAATATTTGACCAGTCCTTACCTTCCTTATATATCTCAAAAATGGTTCATTCAAAGAAAAAGTGTTTTTTTTGGCACAATATTAACATGTAACGGAGTATCACATACAATCCATTCAGATTGATTTATCTTTAATCTAATTGTGAGATATTTATTTTTAATAACTAAATAATGACATTTTACATAGATAATACCATATTGTACTTTGTACATCTCATATTTGATTAAATCTTAAACACAGTGCCACACATTGAATTCTGAAAAGTCAAACAAATCATGGTCAACCTATTTTTATCATTATTGATTTTTTTTCCTTTTCACTATTACATCATTTTTTTATTAATTACTGCAACTACAAGCAGGTTTCATTATTTTCTTAATAACTAAAAGTGCCCTTTTTTGTATTAGGAATATATAACGTAATTTTGATGTCTAGGGCTGACTTTTATTAGACAAAGTAATTCTTGTATTAACTTTAAAGTTAGGTTTGGTTTCAATGAGTCCAGTTTAATTAATTACTTATTGGAATCCTCAATTTGTCACATACTTGATACTTCCATGGTTACCTCATTTAAAATCAGGTTTAATTCAAATGAACTAAACACAACTTCAACCATTTATGTAATTTATCTTTTTGGAAAACAATATTATTGGGGTAATATTAAAAATTATTAAGTTCTTATTTATCCTATTCACAAAATTATAGAGATGCTCACCCTAATTTGAAATTAGATCCCCGGGATTAATGTCATGCCATTCCACTTGTCTGACGCTTCATTAACACAACCGGTGTGGTTCTACTCTTTAATAATCCTTATGTACTGGTTTTGGAATGCACTTAATAATTTTCTTATAACTTACGTCAAGCACTTGGGAGTTTGTCAATCAGAGTCACATTCACATGCAAGTACATGATCTCCTATCTTATGTGTAATTTTCTAAACCTAGGCTCTGATACCACCAAATGTAACACCCCCTATCCGGCCCGGAAGGCTAGGGCAGGGAGCGCTACCCGCAGTGCTGGAGCACCAAAGCGTTGATTGACTTTTCCATTCGTTTTCATTATTCCAAAAATGTTTTTAGTTTAAAAACGAGCAAGTGATAATAACTTTATGAAAAATCATAATTGCCGAAGCATCCATATTTTAAACATAACACTTAAAGGTTTAGTGTTGCTGTTACATCATACTAGCATGTTGACTACATATTAATTATGCAAACTAAAATGAGGTATTACTAAATGCAAGTGTGACTCTGTGCTGATTGGCATGTTGCTCCCAAATGCTTTCCTCCTTGAATTTTTCCACCACACCTTTAAGTAGTATCAATGTTAAGTTATTTTTGTTTTTATGTTTTCATGAACATATTTATATTCATAACATTGAGAATCAATTTTGAGTTATTTCTAACCATGGATGCAAAGCGAAAGCATCATAACATAAATCTAGTCAAATCCATATTAGGGGATTTTATATCATCATTGATGACATTTTAATTTTTAAGGGAAAATAAATAAATAAAGTCCACAAATGTCTTATTATGTCTCATGTCTAAAACTCTAAATCCACATATATCTAGACAAATTCATATAAATGTTTCAAATGTCTCATAAAATCCCATATTTACATATTTACAAGAAAATATGTCTTAGAAATTGTGATTTAAATAAAATTAGATAATTAAATATTGTCATTCAAAGAAAAGATAATTAATACTCCCTCCTTCCCAAAAACAACTTACCACTTTCTTTTAATGGATGTCCCAAAATTAACTTCACACTTCTTCCCACTTCCTTATTTAGCAAATTATTTACATCAAAACAGTGTCAAACAGTGCTAAACAGTGTCCAAACAGTGTCAAAACAGTATACTTTACCCCCAGTAAGTTTATTTCCTTAATATGTGTGAAAAACGAAATATGAAGTTGTTTTTAGGACGAAGGGAGTATTGAATTGTTAAAGAAATAATTGTGAACCACAACAATCCAAACATTTTGAAATATTTTACACTTAGCCGATGGATTAATGAGAAAATTGTCCAACATAGGACTAAAACACAACCTTTTTCTCAAAATAGGACCACATGCATGTTTTTCTCTAAATAGGACTAACCTTAATTACCTTACCTTTTTTACCCCTAATTCTATTTAATTAATTAATTGATCTAAATAATTGCTCCCCCCTAGTTTCCTTGCACAACCAAGGCAGTCCGTCGGTGGCGGGGCAGTCCATGGTGGCGGCAGCACTCCGGTAGCGGCCGGCGGTGGATTCCGGCAGCGGCCGGCGGTGCATTCCGGTAGCGGCGGCGGCAACTCCGGCAATTAATTAACCCAATCAATTATTGATGGACTTGGGCCGGGTCGGGGCCGGGTCGGGCCTAGGCCCGGTTGGGCCGCCGGGTTGTATGACATGGGCCCGGGACCGGCCCGAGGGTTGGACGGGTCCGGTTCGGGCCGGGCCACCCGCCCGGGTCACGGGTCGGGTCCGGTTCGGGCCGGGCCGGTTAATTTTTTTTATATAATTTATATTTTATAGTTTATAGTTTTATACGAGTATTAAAAAGAAACTTCAATTGCATTTATTTGAAATGAAATAGGAACTACATTTGAAAATTAAAACAAACTTTAAGAGATAAACATTTTGAAAATTGTAATCAATCGGAACTTCCCGCACCTCCCGATCCTTTGGCTTTGTCACATGACTTCATATGCTTGATTGCCATCCCGAATCCGCCTGAAACCCCCATGCTACATTTTTTCTCGCACCATTTGCAAATTGCGTACCACATCCCGGTCTTCGGGTCCTTCTGCTTATCAAAATTATACCGTATAATGGCATCTTGATTTTCCATCTTAACTTCTTAAGTATAAACTATAAAGTAGATATATAAATAATAAATATAATATATTGGAGAATAAGAGAATTAGAGAGTAGAGAGTTAAGAATAGGATTTAGGAAGAATCGGAGAAGAGATATGAAAAAATGTTTAAGATTAGGAGTATTTATAGGTTTTTTTACCCCCCACCCCCCACCACCACCCAACCCCCCTGGACCCCCCCTTTACCCCACCCAACGGCTATATAGCCGTTTGGGTTGTCCCCAGCCCCACCCCCAACGGCTAGTAGCCCAAGAACCAATTTTTTTTTTTAAATCTTAAGACCGGACTCGGGGCCGGGCCCGACCCGGCCGGGCCGGGTCACATTAATCCAGCACCGAGCCCGCCCCGCCCATTCCCACCGGTTCGGGTCCATACCCGGTCCCGGACCGCCCGACCGGGCCGGTCTCGGGCCCGCACAGTACTGGGCCGGGCCGAGTCACGGGCCGGGTGGCCCGAACCGAATCCACCCCTACAATCAATTGCCCCCCTAGTTCTCTTGCACAACCAAGGCAGTCCGTTGGTAGCGGGGCAGTCCAGAGGTGGCGGCAGCTCGGCGACAGCGGAAGAGGCGGTTTCTGGCGGCGGCGACGGCGGCAGGTGGCGGCAGAATGTTGGCAAACCTCCTGAAAAAAATCTGGAATTTTTCCGGCGGCGGCGACAGGCGGCGGTCCGGCAGTGGTGGCGGCAGTGGCGGGGGTTTCCGACGGCGGCGAGAAAATAACAGACATTAAATAGACAATAAGTAGACAATAAATAAACAATAAATTCTGATAAACACCATTGTGGCGGCAGAGGCGGCAGAATCTGGCAGTCTGCCAGATATTTTTTTGATTTTTCAGCGGTGCTCCGGCGGCGGTGGCGGCAGAATCTGGCAGTCTGCCAGATATTTTTTGGAATTTTCCGGCGGCGGCGGTGACCGGAGGTCTGGCGACAGGTGGTGGTGGCCGGAGGTCTGGCGGCAGGCGGCTGGCCGGAGGTCCAGGGGCAGCAGTGGGGTATTTTGGTCCAATCACACATAAAAAATCCTATTTAAGAATGTTTAAACTAATTGGTCCTATTTTGAAAAAAAAAAGCCATGTTTTGGTACTATTAAGGTAAATCTCCCATGAATTAATTAATACTCTTGATCCGCATGTAGACACGTGGTTCCTAAATGGCAAAAGTACGTAGTTTAACTTAATGATGATGCTTCGGCGGGAGCTGCTGTTGATATTGGAAACGATATAAATAAAATCTTACTATCTAAATTGCAAATAGTTTTATTCTCGTGGTAGTACTAACCTAGGACACTAAAACATCCATTTTAGCAAAAAAAATAAAGAAATCCATATGACCACCTTATGGAAACATATGCGGTATTATGGCACCATCACCATCCATATTTTTAGTGGCTACAATATCCAATGACCCCATAAGGGAGTCATATAGGTCTCCATAAATCTACTCTCCATTTTAGAAGAGATGGATACATATAGAAAAGTAAAGTTCAAAACATGCCACCCTTAACAGTTAACATGATTGTGCCATAACTCCTCAATTATCATGACTGTCCTCGCTTACATTAACTCCTTCCTCTTCACTTTCATTGGGTTCTTGACTGTATTTCTCCTCAGTTTCAACTGGTTGTGCCTTTCTTGCTCCATTTCCATTCAATCCAGTTTTTTTGTGCTTACTCTTTGGGTTATCTGTAGCATCATGTTTTTTTTTCATATTTCCATTCTCAGCAGGTTTCTCTTCCTTCTTGGTCTTTTTGTTAGACTCTGCTGGTTTTGAAGACGTGGCCTTCCTTTTAGAATATTTCAGCCTGAACTCTGTCAATAACATGGAAACATTCTGACTTTTTAAAAAAGGTAGGTCTGAACTCATCATCTTGGAAGCAAAGAATGTGATAAAGCATACAGACATATATGTCTGACAGGAAGGGCGAAAAAGCAAATGAAAGGATAAGTTTCCATTAAAGCACAAAAAAACAAAAAAAAAAACAATTTTGGTATGACCTCATTTTCCAAGATAAAAATTCCCACATCCCCTCCCTCACCCACCTGTATTATGGTGAGAGGGTTTGGGCTCTTAAAAAGATTTAAGCCCACAGTAGCATATATTTAGCTGTTTATCATCAACGCAGAGTCTACATGGTATCAATTCTTATAGTGTGCCAAGTGTTTACTGCATAGATAAACAGTTCAATATATACTACTGTGGGGTTGAAACTTCTTATACTGGCCCATTTTTTCAATAGGCCAGTATCATATACATATGAGAGAGGAGAGATTTAAGGCGAAACAAACTAAAATCTCTGATATCTTATAAGTTAGCTGATATGTTCTGTAAGTTATAACTTATACAACCTCTGTCGCCAAGAAAGACCTCCTTTAACAAGGTACAACTATTTATTTTTAGTAAGGGGCAACGATAAGAAATGAACAATTATAGCTATAATTTGAAATTTACTTGTTGGTTTAACAAGCAATCAGGGAACGACCTGCCTAAAAACAAAATAGCAATCAGTTATCCAAATAAAAGCTAAAACTTGAGGGACGGCAAAAAAGAATTAATAATGGATAGAAAAATGTAGTGCAAGAATTAATGGATAGCCAGCCTGACCAATACTAAATTTGGATATTTTTAAAAACTTAAGGGGATAATGCAAAAAGCACAACAACCTTCAAGAGAAGCTCTGAGAGGATCTACAAATTCACTAAACTCAATGTCTTCAAGAGCCTTGAATACATCTTCTGCACTCATAGTTTGCCTCTTAGAGTCCATGCAATTATCATTTGCGCTACAATTACAAAAGATATATAAGAGCATATTAAGTCAGCTTTAAAAACGACAGAACAAAGACATTTCTGCAATTGTGGCTTTTTAGATTTCGCATTAAGTGTTATGAATGGCAGATGGCCGAACTTTCCGGACAGCATCACCATAAACTGCCTGACATTCTTCATAAATTTCCTATGGCGTCCGGAGCAAAATCTACCATAACATTCCTCCATGGTACCACCAAGGCCACCAACTAACAACACTGTTGTGTATCAGTACCCATTGATTAATCTACAGCAATTAGTGAGGCCAGGATATTAATCCCCCACCCCCAGTGAACAAAAAACCATAACTGACTCACTGAATCTAACCACATATATATAATAAAAGGAACTAATGATAGACACTGGCAAATCCGACTCTCAACACAGTAGATTCAATAGCAATTATGGAGAAACAAGATCAGAGAAAGTTTATTGATGTAAGGAAGAAGTACAGAACGTATACAAGCATTGGACGATTCGAGATGCCCAGTCTCCAAAGTCTAAGTCCAACCAAATGACAGCCTACCTATTTTCCTCCCCTCCTCTTCTATTTATACTATTACATGTACACTTACTATTATTATTATTTCTTATTATTAGCCTACTAAGCCAGATTCCTATCAATACTCCCCCCCTAAATAACCACCTTGTCCTCAAGGTGGGTGATAGGAATCAGTCATGATCTTCCACTTCCACTTCATTCTTGCACCTCTCCCTTCCCAATATATCCCAAATTGCTTGGTCCTGACCTTCATTACTTGATCTTTCATCGTCACTTCATTCACAGCAAACAGGAGCAGAAACTGGAGATGAAAACTCCCTGGAATTATGTTGTCAAAGATAATACTTCTTTCACCCCTTTTTGCAGTGTTCCTATCCCCATCTCCACTTTGACCAAGCTTCTGACATGAAATTGAATGAGGTCCTACCTGTTTTACATGATAACCAAACCTTGAAGCCTCTTCATTGTAATCAATATCATCATATAAAGGTTCTGCAAAAAAATTCCAGCTGCCCTTGTAGTAGCTTCAGCTGATTTATGAAAGTTCAGTTCATGTCCTCCTGTTAAAGTGCCAGCCCACGAGTTGGTAGGTGAAATAAGTGTACTTGGACTTTTTCCATCCCGAAGTACAATAGCAAGAGAAACAGATGAACCACACTTATCTTTGCATACAACAGTCCTAATTATACTCTCTTGCACCTGATTAATTGCAGTCCTTAAAATGGAATTTCTAATTGCAATATCAACATGAAGAGGTAAGAATTTAAAGTCTGGAAAATTCTCAGTGCTTGGCTGCTTGCTGCAATTGCATATAAACTGTTCTCACTAGGTGAAACCTCAAGACTACACCTTCCACTGTCATCTATCTTCTTTTGTTGGTGTGTCCAGTTTTCTAGTCCACGAGTAAGAATTACTCCTTCTATCAAATCATCTTTTGGAGATGAGTTAGAATCTGAATCCACATTATCTATACCTTGCAGATATTCTTGTGCATATCCCATAGATTGCTTAATACCATAATTCGTATCCAGTTCCAAACCTGAAGATGCAGCTAATTTCAACTCAATGTTCTTTGCCAACAATGGAGTGCCCTGCAATCCCATTCTTGATTCAACTAAATTTATGGCTCCTGAAATAGACGATACCTGTGAACGATTGAGGAATCCAGCAACTGTACCACTTTCAGGCCCTCCAGCTACTGTAGATTGCTCCTCGTTTTTGTCTTCCGTCAGTTTCTTGATTACATGATTAGCAGACTTCAACTGGGCATTCTTTGTCAACTGGGGGTAGTCTTGTGCAGGTTGAGAAACGGCTGGCGATAGCACTTGCGAACATGAGTATTCCTCTCTCGATTGCGTGACATTCTGATGTGAATAGCTCACATATGAAAGTGCCTGTGAAGTAGGAGAAACGACAAACGATGCTGACTGCGAGGACACCTGCGGACGACTTAGAGAAACGGCTTGCGATGACGATTGCTGATGAAAAACAGTTCTTGACGAAACCAGAGAAGTGGAAGGATTTTTTCGCGAGCGAGAACTGGAAGACGTTGTAGGCGAAGACTTCTGTGTCTTCCGACTGTGTGTAGGTCGGAAACGCCGCATTATGGCTTCCTTCAGAACCTCCCAACTCTTCTCTCTCGTTTGAGTCTCCCACCATTGAAACCAGTCAAACGCCCTATCCTCCATAGCTTCTGCTGCGATTTCTACCTTATCTTTTTCTGTAGTAGTATTGAGAGTGAAATATCGTTCCATCCTATCCATCCATCCATAAGCGCCACCACCATTGAAAAAGGGTAATTCCATCCGTCCATAAGCGTCAAAGCATCCCAATACATCTCCCTTCTGCACAATCCATAAGCGTTCCTGATGCGAAGGTAAGTAATCATAATTACCTTCTGAACCTTCTGGATTAACGGAATCTCTCACATGTCTGCGATGCAATGTGCGATGCGGATTGTGCGAAGAATCTTGTGCGCTTAGCGATGATGGTTGCGAACTAATAGAAGCCTTTAGTGATTTCGAAGCAGAAGAAACAATTTGCAACTCCTTCTTCGAACTGGTGAGCGATTTGCGATGCGATGCGTAAGAGGCCTACGATCTGCTTCGTGAACTACTCCGGATTTCTCTCTCCAGATTTGCGATGCTCGCCTGCATCGCCCCCATGGTCATAGCTACTTCTTTCATCAAGGTATGGTTCCGTTTTTCCATTCTATTCTCCATTTTTGGTTCTCGTCCAGACCTTCCACAACTGAAACGGAAAATTTTCTGGTATTGCGCCTACGATTCCGATCACCAGAAACGTTGCTCTGATACCATTGATAGACACTGGCAAATCCGACTCTCAACACAGTAGATTCAATAGCAATTATGGAGAAACAAGATCAAAGAAAGTTTATTGATGTAAGGAAGAAGTACAGAACATATACAAGCATTGGACGATTCGAGATGCCCAGTCTCCAAAGTCTAAGTCCAACCAAATGACAGCCTACCTATTTTGAGGTGATCGGACAAAGAAAATTCAGCCCAATGAAACCGTTGAAAGTGGCTGACTTGGGAAACAAGTTTATTTATTTTACTGCACTTGAATTTGCTGATTTGAATGAATTTACTTGAAAGAAATTTACTTTCAACTAATCTTTATTTATAAGATTCATAATATACATACATATATATATATATAAGATTCATAATTACAAGGATAGAATCATATCAATTTATGAGGGAAATAGAGAATTTCCTATTACTCCCTCTATTTAAAAGTTAGTTACAATTTCCTTTTGGCGATGTATTTTAATTTTTGTTATTCCCTTTTGGATAAGTTTCCCTTTAGAAGTACTTAATTACCCTTACTTTTTCTACTTTTTATCTCATTTTTCACACTTTTCCATCCTCTCTCCTACTTTTCCTACATTATTCATTACACCTACTAATTTTCCCTTAAACATTGTGTCATATAGTATCGTAGCAAACATTTCAATACGAAGAGAGTACATCAATCGGTTAATAATTCCTGATTTGATACAATCTGTACAATAGATAATAAAATCAAGAAGGAAATTACTCAGAATCATATCATATCTCAGCACTCCACCTCAAGTTGGGGCATAGATATCATATGCATCAAGCATGACACAAATTTATCTTTATTCTCGAACCTCGAAGCGACTTAGGGAGAAAATCAGCTAACCGATCATTTGACAATCGACTTATATATGCTTTGTCTTCATGGAACACGGGGTTTAGGCATGGCAATGGGTCGGGGCGGGGCGGGTATTGCAAGACCCGGACCCGCCCCGTGACTTGGAGGGGCGGGTCCACCCCGCCCCGTGACCTGCACGGGTCCAAATTTGTTGACCCATGACCCGCCCCATGCGGGGCGGGACGGGTCCGCCCCGCCCCGACGTAACCTAATTAGCTAGTATGTATTTTTTCGTGGGAAGTTGTTACCAATTGAATCTACATAATGTTTATCTCTAAATAATAATTAAAAATCAGTATATTAAATCAAATTCATGATACGCTAAAAAATTCAAAAATTAAGGGAAAATTACTCAAACTTGAATAGTTAATCTTATTAGTTATATTAATAATTGAATATATGTATAAAAATTCTATATATAAAGAAGACATTAATAATCCGTCGTGCATCTCATTATAATATATACTCCGTATTCATATATTATAAGATCAAAGAATTTATGATTTATTGTATATACACATATGTATGTTGAAGTATATTTGTAGTACTATAATTTAAGAAAAAGTATGTATACTTATATATTCAGCGGGTCGGGTCGGGTCGGGTCAGGGCAGCACGGGTCAATTCTAATACCCGGACCCGCCCCATTGTATAGGCGGGGCGGGGCGGACCTGCCCCATTTGCAAGACGGATCGGGGCAAACCCGCCCCAAATGTCTCGGGCCAGGGCGGGTCATTGCGGGTCGGTTTTTTTTGACATCCCTAACGGGGTTAGAAGCGAGGTATAAAGGTGCCCGAATATCAAGAATCAATTCCATATGCTTCGGTTTGCAAAACTTTAACTAAGACAATAGCTGCTTCAACCATACGAGTTCGCAAGTAGTAAGCCCCATGGCTCGATACTCTGCTTCCACACTTGTAACAATACTTTGTTTCTGGTTCTTCCAAAAAATAGGATTTCCACAAATGAGAACACAATACCCTGACAATTGGACATTTAGATCGATTGGAGTATCAATCGGCTTATAACCTGTCATACCGGTTTCCCTCAAGAATATCAAGAGCATATTAACTTTAAGATATTGCAATGCCAGTTTTGGTTTGATCTACCTCAATTCCAAGATAGTAATGATGTCATCCCAAGTCTTTTGTTTGAAATTGCTGAGACAAGTACTTTTTGAGATTCTTTATGTCATCATGATCATCCTTTTTTATTATAGTATCATCAACATAAATAACAAGGTAAGTAGATTGATTAGATAAAGACCTTTTATAAAACACAGTGTGGTCTGTTTTGCATTGAGTCATCCCAAACAGTTTGAGAGCCACACTGAATTTGCCAAAGCACGCTCGCGGGGACCGTTTAAGAGTTTAAGACCATACAAAGCTTTATGCAACCTACACACATAGCTACACCCCCGAGCAACAAACTTGTGTGGTTGCTCCATGTAAACATCTTCCTTTAAGTTACCATGAAAAAAATTAATTTTTTATGTCCAACTAATGTAAGGGCCAGATGCGCATAGCTGCCATAGATATGAACAAACGTACAAAGCCATCTTTGCAACAGGAGAAAAAGTGTCACCATAATACAAGCCAAAAAATTAAGTAAGCCCTTTTGCAGCCAAATAAGCTTTCAGCTAGTCGACTTGTCCATCAAGACCAACTTTGATAGTAAACACCCAACAAGAACCAACAATAGATTTCCTAGGAGGCACGGGAACAAGAGACCAAGTGCGATTAATTCCATGGGCATACAACTCATCCAGTATGGCTTGCACCATCCTGGATGTGCAAGAGCTTCCTAGACAGCTTTAAGAATGGAAATGGAAGAAATGGAAGACACAAAATCACAATGGGAAGAAGATAGATAATGATAACTAAGAAAATTGTAAATAGGATGGGGGTTCCGAGTGGAACGTGTACCTTCTCTAGTTGCAATGGAGAGATTAGGTAGGCTCGGTGCTTCAAGTTGGGCTGGAGTGGGTATAGGAGCTGGAACATGAGATGAATCACCAAGTCATTAATAGGTACATCCTCGTTATGTGCAGATCGTGGACGATGCTGATAAGAATGAGAGGTTTGGGAGAGGACAATGGAGGATTAGAAAGTGATAATGGAGTAAGATGAGGAATGTGTAAGACCTAAGAGACAGATTTAACTTCCACGGGTGAAGTGGAATACGGTTGTGTTAGGAATATAAATGTATAAGTGAGCTGGTAGAGTTTGTTAGAACTGTTGTTAGACTTGTTATAGATACAACTATATTCGGTTATAGTTAAGTGTGTATAAATATTCCTGTACTCTTCTCTTCAATAATATCTTCCTACTACAGTTTCGAATATGGTATCATGAGCTTGTATCTGTAAATATCTGGCTATGGCGATTGACAGTACGACAACTTCATCTACTTCCTCTACTCGAAATTTCGTTTTTCCAGTAGCCTTTGCTCATCCACTTCACCTAAAATTTGATTCTAAGAATTTCCAATTCTGGAAACGGCACGTTGAATCCATTGTTCGTGTGCATAAACCTCTTCATTTTGTTGTTAATCCTGAGATTCCGCCTAAATTTGTTGATCAAAACAATGAACGCCATGTTATCAACAAAGCTTATCTCACCTGGGAACAACAAGATCAGATGCTTTTCTCCTGGCTTCTATTGTCGCTATCTGAGTCGCTTCACGCACGCGTAATCCACTGTCGCTATTCCTATCAAATCTGGACTGAGATTAAAAAATTCTTCACATCTAATGTGGTTGCGCGAGCTTGACAGCTCAAATCTGAGCTATATTCAACCATCAAAGGTGATCACACTATATCTAAATATCTGCTTCATATTCAGACTATTATTGATATGCTAATCGGCATCGGTGAATCAATTTCTGCGAAGGATCACATCAACATTGTAATTGAAGGTCTTCCTGAGGAATATGAGTCGTTTGTCTCATTTATTGCTACCCGAAGTCCTCTTGATCCTGTTACAATCTCAGAAGTTGAATCCTTACTTCTAGCAAAGGAAATGAGGATCCGTAAACTTCTTGAAGCCTCTCAATCCACTTCGTTTTCTGCTAATGTTGCTAGACTTGAAGAATCTCAATCTGCTAGTGATTCTGACTCTCAAGAATCTCAGGATACTACCTCCGCTCACCTTGTTCAAGCACATTCTAATAACTCTTGTGATGGTGGTAGATGGTGGTGGATCATACAGAGGTTGAGGCTGTGGTAATTCTTCTAGAGGTAACTTCAGAGGTGGTGGTCGATCTGGTGCTCATTCTTCCATTGTCTATCAGGTGTGCAACAAACCTGGTCATCATGCTTTGATCTGCTACCATCGCTTTAATCCTGCATATACTTCTCACTTCTCAGCAATATACATATCAAGGAAATTGTTCCAGACCTCCAACATCAATGCCAAATTTTCTTCCTCCAACTAATTTCTCTCAACAACCTGTTCAACAGAATTTCTCTCAAACTCCAGGGGCTGTGAATTGGCCTGGATCGCATGTCAATCAACCTTCTGCAGCTTGGGCCTCTGCTAACACTTCTATTCTAGGACCTGTTCCACGCGTCAAGCTTGATTTCTAGATTCAGGAGCAACTCATCATGTTACTGCTGATCCACATAACCTGCATCACAGTGAAGTTCCTGCTACCAGTTATAAACTCTTTATGGGCAATGGACAAGGTTTGAATATTAAATCTGTTGGTTAAACTTCCTTTTCATCACCTTATCATCCCTCTCACTTACTGTCTTTAAACAATATACTTCATGTTCCCTCTATCACTAAGAATCTTATCACTGTTAGTCAGTTTCAAAGTTTTGATCCCAATTCACACCTAGCAGCCACGCGACAGATTTGACATTGGTCAACGGCTTGGTCTATTTTTAATCTAAATTTTATCTCTTGGATTTCTTCACAACATTTTGACCCCACTTTTAGTTTCCCATGGCATGGCATACGAAGGAGTGGAAAAGGCACTACAGCATCTCTGTCAAGAGTTTGTTAGTCTAACGTGAAATCACAATGGCAACTTGTATTATGAATTTCATAAATGATTGATCTTACCGCCGGCAGGCCTTTTTCAGCCGCTCTTGATTCTGCAACACATTTGGTGATCTTAGTGGTTGTTGATCAATGATCATTTATCTGAAGCAGTACATCCCAATCCATTAGCAAACCCATTCACTGTCATTTATAGTGCAAGGATCTTCTTTGCTGAAATACTCCACTTACATGGATTGCTAGAATCCATCGTCTCTTATCGTGATAAAATATTTGTGAGTTCCTCTTGACAACTATTTTGGTTGGTCAGCACTAGTTTTGGTTCTTCATCTCCATATCATCCTCAAACCGATGGTCAAACCGAGATAGTAAACCACACCATGAGAATAACCCGAACAAGGGTTTGTTGGCTTCCATGGGTTGAATATTGCTATAACACCTCTTACCATATTGTGTTGGGGGATACACCCTCGTATCTCGCTTATGTCTTGACAACCTAAACTTATCTTATAGCTTGAGGAGAATCTCCTATTCAACAAGGGGTGATGTTATTAACCAATTATGGGGCTAAAAATATCAATGGTGCAAGTTGGGCCAAACAGAGTGATTGGTTTGAAGAAATTCAGACCAACAAAAACACTAAAAGTGGCTGCCTTGGGGAGCAAAAGTTTCTTTAATTACTTTACCACTTTGTTAATTCAATTTTAGCATGTTTCTTAATTTAGGTTTATTGAGTTTATATGTTTCCTCTTGTGATACGTCTCTGCTCATCATAGAACCCAAAATCCATATATTGTTCTCAACATTGGACGAGATCTTTTTATGCACACTCTTAACAAAACGTTGATTTAAACTTCCATGTTACTACCTCACCCCAGGCTCCTCTTAAATTGTGGGAAATTGCCCTTGTCTGCTATGCACACTACATCGTCTGCTTCACAGTTCTCTCACTTATATTGTATATCAGTTCATTACGACCAAACTTTATCATTATAATGAGTCCTTAAATTATTATAATGTGTTGTGCAATCCCACTTTAGAATTTTCTTAGTATCACGTTACAAACACCATATGTGAAACTACTTCACCAATAAGGAGTTGCCAATATTAAGTGCACGATTAGCAAAGCTTACCGTTTCTAGAAATTATTAACGATAAAATGTCTCAGCTCAATTACCTACTTGAGCCAATAATTCATAACTCAAAGTGAAGTAAACCCCGGAATATCAAAATCCAAAACAAGGTGGAGGTGGGTTATACATTTAAATTTACCCCGTAATTCCCGCAGTAAATGCACTCTCGATGATTCAATCAAAAATAGAGGGGAGGGGGCATGTAAACAAATGTCAAGTGCAGAAATAGGATAAATGGATAGAGCTTACGCAGCAGAGAGGTAGTGGATGAAGATGCGGGCACTCTCGGAGAACGCTTGATGAGCATCACGTAGGAGGGACATATCGCCGTCCCGAGAGAGCTGGGAGAGCTTGTCTTTCACTAACCGGCGCACGATAGTCTTCGGCAGGTCTTCTACCTCCACTTCTGGAATCGTTGATCCTTTCACTTCCGCCATCGCGTTCCACCCTCTCTCCCTCTCCGGCTCTCCCAACTAGCACAGGACCCTAGGTTTGTTTTCCCGCCACAAACGAAGCTTTGTGATTTGGGACGGGATGGCAACACATACATACGAGTGAAGTGATTGAGGGTGGTGGGAGGGAAATTCCCATGGTTTGGAAATAATTTACAGGGAAATAATTGTGTTGACACCATCAAATAATTTACAGGGAAATACTTGCCTTTCATTTTCACGAGAGGGTCACGTCCTTAAAAACGTCTGAAAAATAACTATTAGAAATAGGAGTTAAAAACGTCTCAAAATAGGAGTAATATTATGATAACATTATAATAATTATTAAAAAATAACTATACCTGCAAAGTGTAGCCTATATATACATCTACATACACAAATTCCTATATTGTTTGTAATAAATCGGAAGTATTATACAGAGTAAGAGTCGTAAATGAAGCAAATAATCTTAATTCGAAGAATAATCAAATATATTCATTTATTCATGTGTGTGCATCAACTATCCACTGTGTGTAGTTTAAATTACACTTCGTATATCTAATGGTTTTTTATTAGCAATGATGTTAAATATCTAACATAAAATTAGTCATTTGACTTTGGTATATACAATTATCAACTTATTTATCACATTATAAGTATAATTTCTAATATGTGTGTTTTAGTGTTTATTTCAAAATATTTGAAATAGGTGTATATTTAAAATCATAAAGTTGATTCACTTTATTATATTGTACACAATCTAAAACTGCATTGATCATTAATTTTTAAGAAAATGCAATGTTACAAATGAAATTCTAAAAACACATACCAAGTCATAGCATGCATTTATAACATAAAAATATAGAAAAATTTATTTTAAAGTGATATTTGACTAATATTTGATTTATGCTCAAATCGATTCGATATTCATATATGATTCGTTAACTATTCGTATTGTTAAACAAATATAAATACAAATCGAAATTAATATTCGTTTCATATTCAAATTCGTATTCGAAAAAATTAACAAATACAAATATAAATCTTAGTATTCGACTCTTTTCGATTCGTTTACAACCCTAATTGAGGTTGTTAGTGAGGGAAGTATTTTTAAGGGAGATTTACCTAAATAGGACCAAATAAAAGGATAATTGCAACAATATGAGTATAAAGTTTAAATTCCCAAAATATGACCAACTCTTCCTATTCTACCCTTTCATATGTCCTCTTAATAGTATTTTTTAAACAATCATTATAAAATACAAAAAAAATCATAAAAATCGTAAAAAAAAATTAAAAAATATACAGATGTCAACCACCACCGTAGCCACCTTCCACCACCGCCACCTCCGGTAACCGGAAAAGATTTCCAAGTTGGGGGAAAATGTCATCATGATGGCAATTTTGAAGCGAAATCTGGATATTTGCAAAGAGTAAGAACGTCATCTTCATGACATTTTCAAAGAAATGTGACATTTTTTACACAAGATGACATTTTTCCCGATGACCGGAACTGGTGGTGCTGGGAGGTAGAAGACGCATTGGTAGTGACCTACATATTTTTTAAATATTTTTTAGGTAGTTTACTTTATTTTTAGACTTTTTTAAGTTTTTTAAATATTTTAATTTTTTATTTAATTTTTTTTTATTATTTTTTTCACGTTTTTACTATTAATTTATAAATATTTTATAATTTTTATATTTTTATTATAAATAAAACTATGATTTTCTTAGTAATAAAATAAATCTATTGGAAATCATAGGAAGAGAGTAGAATGGGAAGAAGGGGCACATATTACTCATATTTTGAGAATAAAGGGATTGTACTCCTGTAGTTGATTTTTGGGCTAATACCATATTTTTAATTTTAGTTCATAGAAAAGTTGTTTTGAAGGAATATGGCTTATATTAACATAACATAACGTAAGCAGGATACAATCAGACAAAAAGTTCACTGTGTACCGTTCGCCCTTGGACCAGACATAGAACATGTCACCCCTAAAGAAGCAATCAGGTTCGTTGATCCTAGATTGGGCTTATCTGAGTCAATTACTAATATGAATAAAAACTAAAGCAAACAGAAACGCACGATTCCGAAACAAAAAACAACATGAAAGGAAATAAGTCTAAAAATGAAAAGTTCTTCAGTCTGTAGATAGTACCGGATCCTCATGGATTTTGGCGGGCGTGGATGCTCCATCCCGTCTCTTCCCTGTTTTCTGTCTCATCCAGAGCCATGACATCCTTCTCTGAGTTCGGGCTCCTGTGCTTCCCAGGTACACCTTCTCTTCTTATCCCATGATCCACTGCTACTCTGTCCCGCTCCATCCTTTTTAGGTGGCCCCATTCCGCCCTGGGTTTCATCTTTCGTGTAGCTCTTACCCCGTTCAGGCTTCTCATTGAAGTTTCTTTCCGTCTTGGTTGGATTTCTCCTTGCATCTCCTTCGCTCACAAACCATTTACTACCCAAAGATGGGCGAGGCCTCCCTCCTCCTGCCCACAACCACGGACCAAAAGATTTAACAATAGTTTTATCCCCTTTTTCATACAATAGAGGGCAAAAACTGAGAAGTTTTTCATGCCTCAAATCAACCCAATAACCTTCCCCTTTGCTTTTTTCAAGGTTGTCTCCACCTTCAAGGGGTTTCTCACATCCAAATTCACCCTAACCCTCATGTAGGCCTCCCATTTCTCATGCAATTGGTTATCATCCTAGGTAATAAACTTCCCTAGGTGGTTTCCAATTCTTCGAGCGGTGCCCAAATTCGAAAAACCATATGGAACATTGTGCACTTGTACACAAAAATCAGTCGAAACCAGAGGGACCTTCAGAGGAATATCCCCCGGTTTTATGGCCTTTAACACCAACAGGTTTTGATCAAACAGCCAGGGTCCATTTTCCAACACACGAGTCATATCAACTATATGATAAAATTTAAACAAATACCTCCTCTCTCCGATCTCTCGAATCAACACTCCTTTGCTCGAATGCCACAAAGCCGTCATCAGGTCCTTGAAAATCTGGAAATTCACCACCTTGTCCGTGAGAATCGTGTCGACAACTGGAAACTTGTTCGCCTCCCTATCCGCCGCATCAGAGTTAGTCTGGTTCTTCATCATCGTCCAACAGCAGTTCGTCCTGACGTAGGACCCAAGCCCATGTCGTCATATTGGTCAATTTCTTCACATGGTCGTTGCCTACACCTGTAGAAGTCTCCTCGTCCTCATCCTTTTGTTCGTCGTTGATCTGTGTTTAGAATTCACACGTCGTCATAGCCTCGCACAACCTCCCGATCGACAAGCCTGGCCGCACAAACTCGATGGAAGTTCAAAACCCTACTCGAAAGGGAGAGCCGCATTTTGTTTCATAGAAAAGTTTAGAAAATTAATAAGTATTTGAGGGTATTGTGAATCTCACATCCGCGGTTGGCACAGGTAGGGTTTCTTGGCCCTCGTTTGCGGAAGCTTTGGGGCCGGCGAATTACTTTCGATCGGCGAATTAGAATAGGTGCAGCGAAGACCAACTCCAAAAACGTGTTGGGCATAAACGACGATTGGCTGATCGACGGCCGACTTCTCTTCCGGCAGGGCGATCTTTTCTGGCTAGTTCTCTGCTTCGTTGGTGGGCTGCTTCGTCCGCGCAAGGGAGCAGTTCCGTTTGGTCAAAGTCGAAAGGGGAAGATGGAGGTCATGGAGGAATGAGGATGAGGAAGATTGATGTGGATAGGAATGTGGAAGCGGCTCGCTTTTGGACTGGTTGTGTTCGTGTAATCTTTCAGCCAAGAGATGGAGGCGATTCACGGGCAGATCAAAGCGAAGCAAGAAGAATATGAAGTGATGAAAATTTGTTCCCCTCCTGAACCGCCGTCATGGAGAAACTATGCGACTAGGGTTTGGAAGACTGCTTTACAATTTCTAGTCTTTTATTTTCAGTGCGGACTGTTTTATCATTTCTATTTTGTTCCTACTATGACAATCAATAAGTGGGGTAGGTGGGTGTTCTGTTTTGCTTTAGTTGATAGATTACTAGTTGGAGGCAATCAGACTGATTCAGCCGCTAATAGTCTCTATGCTCTCACAGTTTCAACGATTAGTCTCGTTCTTTTTAGGGTGAACTATTCTATGCTTGGTCATGATGTGAGGGGGCCAATGGGCTTTGGTTTTGATTGGGATAGAGGGGGATTTAGTTCTTGGGATTTGTTATTGTTTTGGTTCGTTTGATTTAATATAAGTTATTTTCCTTTCAAAAAAAAGTATTTGAGGTTATTAATCATACTCTTTTTAACCTTTGTTATATTTATCAATTTTTTAACACCTCAAATTGGGGTGTTGCCCTCCTTATTTAAAAAATACTTCACTAAGTATTTCAAACTCCCTATGTGTTCCTAGCTTGGGACTATCGTTCTTCTTTCTCAAACAAATACTCACTCCAGTTCTAAATAAACTTCACACTTTCCATTTTGGGTAGGTCCAAAATAAACTTCACATTTCTTCTCCCTTCCTTATTTGGCAAAATATCTTCATCAAAACAATGCAAAACAGTGTCAAACAGTGCCAAATAGTGCCAAACAGTGTCACAACAGTGTACTCTACAGTAAAGTCAATTTTATTTCCTTAATTTGTGTGAAGTCAAAGTGTGAAGTTTATTTAGGACCGGAGGGAGTAGTATATACTATATACTGCTCCTTCGATTTAGGGGGTGTTTGAATCTGATTTTTAAAATTGTTTCTACTCCTTCAAGGAGTAGAAACAGATGTAGAGTGTTTGGGTGAAAATCATAAGTACTTATGGTGCTCTAAATTACTCCTATAATCGGTTTTTTAGAAGTTGGAAGAGATCAGCTTCTGAAAACTAATTCTGCTCCTGCTTTTAAAATTGAAGCAGAAGCAGAACAAATTCCAAACGCCCCTTAAATAAATACTCCATCCGGTTCTCAAAGAGGTTCACAGTTTGACTTCACACAGATTAAGAAAATAAATTTGACTTTACTGTGGAGTGCACTGTTTGACATTGCTTGGACACTGTTTGGTACTAGATTCTCACCCGTGCGATGCACGGTATATATTATTCGTAACATTATTAGTTAATGTGCATAATGACTCGTAAATTTAATACCCATATAAATTTTAATTAAGT